ATCAGCAATCTCCCACCTCCGAGTCCTCCCCCACGTCCGATACAAGCCCTGAGTCAGGGTGATTGGCCGATCAGCCACCTGACTCTTGTGGATTAATTGAACTATGTTGAGGAAGATCTGAGGTGGCCAAGTGCCTGCTCTCTCGACTGATTGGAGAAGTGCTAGAAGATCCTCCAGACCTTCTTTCGGAAGACGGCGCCACCAATTCGGGTTCTGCTGATCAGCCCCGACTCCTACGACTCCTTTGAAAGACTTTAGGGCCCCTAAAAGCTGCTGCATGGTGAGTTCATCCAGAGGCCCCCTACTGGCCTCCCGAACGAAGTCCTCCCACCACCCAGCGGGACCTTCAAAAGCCTCCGAGCACCACAGGGACTCCCAAAACTGAGCCTTTTGGTCAATGGCCTCAATGGGGTCCCTTATGGTGCTACCGTCGGGGCGCTTCTCAGGGGCGAGGTCGGGAATTTCCTCTCCCCACGATTTTGTCCAAGCATGGAGCGCGCCAGCGCCTTTGCTTAAAGATGTGCGAACCCAGTCTTTAAAACTCTTCTGCTTGGATCTAACAAGGTAGAGCTCAACATTTTTCACCGTGCGACCGAGATTTTTGAGCTCTCTCTTGCATCGATCTATTTGCTTGAAAGTGGCAAGCTGAGCGGTCAGGCGAAGCGTTCTTTCTTCTCTCTCATTGGACAAAAATATAGTAAGAGACCAGACTTTGGCTAAACAGGACTCTACTGCCTGCCAGGCCTTCTCGATCTCCTCTGGGTGCTTCAGCTTCTCCCGCAAGTGTAGCCAGTCTGCTGCTCGAGCGTAAAGCGCTGCCCAAGCACTCAGGCCACTATATTCCGCTTGCCACCCCATCGCCGTAGTAGGAACCACAGGAACTTCCACAACTTCCACTGCCCAGCCTCGGTGCTGCTCGCTGTCGTTGAAGTCCAGATCGGGATTCCTGTGCGTGCAAAAGCTTTCTGCTGCCAAGGCGAACTTCATGTACTGCTGGGCCAAATCGTAGTTCGGCTTGCCACTGCAGTGCCTTTCACCCATGGAATGGATATTCGCCTGAAGTTTGTTCATGCCTTCTTGAATCTGCGGCTCAACTCTGACTGCGTGCCATTCCCAAGGTAAGTCTGGTCCAGGCAAACTCAGGTCGATGGCAAGGCAAGGACTGAACACACGCTTGGGCATGGTGAACTCGCCAACTCTGAGCTTGAGCCGAATACCTGAATGCGGTGCCCCCCATGGCCCTTCACTGTCCCACGTGGGGTCCACTAGATTGTGTAGGTGGCGACTTACTAGGCAAAAATCAATGAGTCTGTGTCCACCTGGTGCTGCTTCCTGGGGTCCTTTCCATCCTCCTCTGAGGAATAATTGAAGCCCTGATTGTTGCATTTCAGCGATTGTGTTGTTCCAATCTCCAACAATAATGTATGGCTTACCTTGCACTTTGAGATAGTTGCCAACCTCATCTAGAATCTGAAAGTTAGATCCAGAAATCCCAAGATGTGGGGCCAAATAAACGGCGACGAAAATGATGTCCACCCGCTGCATCCAGACCGTTGTCGCGCACCATTGACTAATCTGATTGATCCCAGTCTGTTCTGTGATGCTTAGGCGGTCCTTCAAGATGAGCGGATCATGCCAAAGATGTTTCCTTGTGAGAATTGCAATGCCTCCATGTCCTTGAAGGCCGCCTCCTGCCGTGTCCACCGCAGGAGTAGCGTTGGTTTTCCAGCCAAGCTTCGCCACGTGCTTCGAAGTTTGAATAAGCTTGGCATTCCGAAGATGAGTCTCGACAAAGAGAATCACTTTAGCCATCTCGAGTGGACCACCAGGTTTATTGAAATAATCGAAAGTCTTGTCGTTCCAGGAAGTAATGTTCGCGAAATAGAAGTCAAACGAGTCTGACTGGGACACCTCCTTCTGCGCCGAGGGAGATGATGTTTGCGGGCCTGTGGGCTTTCCTCGGTCGTCTCCAGTGGGTCTCGCTCCGTGGGGGCTGCTGTGAGCCTCGCGCCACGGGGTCACCACCTTCTCAGACGCGCCAGAGGAAGCCCAAGAGGATGAAGTAGTCTCCCTCGAAGGAAATGTGGCCCAGCGCGCACGTGTGGGCTCACCTCCGAGGTCTCCAGTGGGACTCGCTCCGTGGGGACTGCTATGAGCCGCGCGCCACGGGGTCACCACCTTCTCAGACACTGGAAGGGATCCCAGGCCTGCTGGCAGAGAAGATGGAGTAGCCCTCGACGCTGTCGCCGCAGTACAGCCCCCTGGTATGCCGTATTGTCCATCAAAGACGCTTGTCGACTGTCCCTGGTGGCGGCGATCGGCTTCGAAAGTCGGCCCTCCTGAGCCGCTCCATGCCAGCCTGTATGAAACGTTCACGCTGCTGCTCCTGACTGTCGAGACTTGGATCATCAGCCCGAGCAGACACTGCAGCCATGCCAACGTCTTGGGAGGTCGGCTGGCCTGTTTCCACAGGCGCCTGGGCCTGCGAAAATGGTGCGACGGCGCCTCCTGTGGCTGCTGCAGGGGTTCCAGCTCCCTCTGCGGCGCCAGCAATCGGAGGGGCTCCCGTTGCCGCACTGGCTGGCTGAGAGCCCATGGCCGAGAAAGCCGCTCCAAGCGTGGATTTGAACTGCCCCACACTCTCTTCGAGCTTCTTCTTCCTCGCCTCAACCCCGTCGGCACTTGCGAGCCCTTCGGCGAAGGAAGCCAAGAACTGTGTGAGCTGCTCGTCCATGCCCTGGATGGCCGCCTGCGCCTGCGCCGATGGGCTGCCCACCAAGGCCTTGGCTGCCTCAGCCTTGGCCGTCTCGAGCTGGGCCTTGGTCTCCAAGAGCTGTGTCTGAGTTTCTCCCACTGCCTGGAGTGCCCGCCGAGCTGCCTCGAGCTGTCGTTCTTCTTTCCGTTGCAATTCGACAAGCTTGTGTTGAAGAGACTGAACGCCCTTAGGAACCTCAACTCCGAAAGGAATCCCTTGCCCTGCTGCCTTGAGCCTCCTCGCATGAATGAGCTTGTCCCGCTGACTTTGAGAGAGTCGGACCGGCAATGAGAAGAAAGTGCTCTCGTCCATGCCGATCCAATGTGCCTTTTCTTCGTCGGAAAGTGGTTGTGTGTCACCCCACCCTTGCCGAGACTGAGCCCAACCTTCTTGACTGGCTTGCTGGACCCATGGAGAGCGAAGAAAGCGACGCGGCTTCTGTGCCATCCACGGAGGAGGTCCGCCATGCGGCGGGCTCGGCGGCGTGGGGGGCGGGCCGTATCCCCACTGCCCCCTTGGCTGTGGTGGCGTCGCCGCTTGCGGTTGCCTCCCATTGGGATTGAAGGCTCCACACCCGTAGCACTTGGCGCGGTTGCCATTGTTCTACGTGTGACAAGAGCGACAGCCCCAGCCTGGCATGGATGAAATCGCTCGTGTGCAAGAGGCCGCAGCCGTGAGGGATGAACCCTCAGTACGGTAGCGGACTCCTTGAGACCGTTGAAAGCTGTTGGGGCCGTGACTCCCCTTGCCACAAAACCTCAGTCCTCTTGAGCAATGCCTCCGGACTTGAGCCAAAATGGCTTGAGCCAAAATGGCTACGGACCTCCTCCTCCTCCTCCTCCTCGTCCTCCTCCTCCTCCTCCTCGTCCTCGTCCTCGTCCTCCTCCTCGTCCTCCTCCTTCTCCTCCTCCTCCTCCTTCTCCTGCTACGGGTTGCGTGCTGCGCATCTCGGGCCCGGCGAAAGGGGGGGATAGGGTAAGGGGGGGATACGAAATCTGCTGCATGCAGCTGGTTTCGGCCCCGTCGCCGGGCCTATTCCTCGATACATCGGCGCCTCCAGGCGCCGGGAGGCGCTGGGAAGATCAGCTACGTGAGCCGATTCTCAACCTCCCTCTTTGCTATCCCCCCCCTTTCGCCCGGCCCGAACCTGGGGCCGAAGGATTCGCTTGGCATCGCTCAGACGTGTGCACTTCTTCTCGGCGGGGATTCTTAAGGAGCATCCTGGATCATCCTGCGACAAAAAACCACGCACGAAACCGAACAAAGCGCAGGGAATGGACGTCCGAGCGACGGGGAGTTCGGGAAATCGTAAGGCCTCGAGTTCGCCAGAACTCGGGTCTGCCGAGGCTTTGTGGCGGGCCCGTCCTGGGGCCGAAGGAGTCGGGAAAACGTATAAGGTTCAGTCGGGCCTGTCCCTCTACAGGAGGAAGACTCCCCAATAGTCAAGAAATGGTCTGGGGACTATTTGTTGAGTGTGTTTTAACCGTTTTGGAGTATTTTTGGTGTATTTTTCATCTTTTGTCGAAAATCCCCCTGTAGGGGGGGGACACACCCGACTTAAACGCAAGGCCACGAGTTCGCCAGAACGCGGGTCTGCCGAGGCTTTGTGGCGGGCCCGTCTTGGACTTTGGCGGTCCAGTGTTTGTGGGATGTCTGCAGCGAGCTCGCGCCGAATTTCAGACTGAGCCTCGTCAGTCTTCTGACGGCCACTGTCAGGCCAACCCGAGTCACCAGAACCCGAGTTACATCTCCCCCAATGGTCGCGCCGCATCGCCGATGTATTGGCGACGCGGCTCGATGTGGAACCCGATCTTCTCAACGCCGGCCTCGCCGATGCATCATCGCCGGTAATCGGCGGTGCATCGGCGACACCTGGTGCGATCCAGAGGCCGGGATACGAAATCAGTTGCATGCAGAGTGTTTCGGCCCCGCCGCCAGGCTTGGGCGCCTCTGGCGCCCCTGAGGAGCCAGAGGCATCAGCAACGAGAGCCGATTCGCGACCCCCCTCCTTGCTATCCCGCCTTTCAGCGTCCGACACGACATTGTCGGGCGCTCCATTTCTGGGCAACTCCTTCCTTAGGTGCGTCTACGGAAGGGCGGCCTTTGTAGAGTTGAGTATCATGAGGGTGTTTATTCGTCACTCCCTCTTCAAAGGAATCAGCAGTCGTCATGTCCGTCAAACACGTGTTGAACAAGTCATGACGTCATAGGTCTCGGGGTTGAAGAGGGCAAGCGCGGCCCTGAGGTCGTTGAGATACCGGTGGAGAAGTGCAGCAACATCAAGGACGACGTACGAGACCCCATTGACAAGGAGAAGGGCACCATCTCGTATGTCAAGGATTGCCCGGAACACGACAACAGCAAATGTAGATAACGAGGTGATTGAAGGAGAACGGGGAAGGAAGAGCAAGAGGGTAAAGAATGTGTAGCGAAGGATGAGGAGGTCCACGAGAGAGAGAGAGAGAGGAGCGGTCCCAGAAACAGGAGAAGGAGGACGAGGAGGGCCTGACGGCCTCACCCCGACGAGCGCGGCAGGCCAGAGAGGACAGACAGTCAGAGGGTGAGCGAAGAGGGCGGGAGGGAAGGGAGAGAGGGGATCCGAAGAAGAAAAACATATCATAAAGATCAGATGTCGGAGCTCCGCGCGGATTTATCGGGTCGGCGCTGGTGCCCCCCCCCCGCCAGGCGGCGCTTCCGGCGCCATCCTTGGCCCAATCCTTGGGCGTTGCGTAATGGAGGGGTCATAAATGGGGGGGTGGCGAGGGTGGTCCGAAAAGGTACCCAAACGGTACCTAAACGAGCCCCCTGGGGGTCCGGAGGGGCTCGAAAGGGGGACGAAAGGGGACCGTTTCTGACCCTCCCATTTATGACCCCCCCATGAAGCCACGCCCAAAATCCGCGCGCCAGGAAGGGGGGGGGGTCAGCGCCGATCCAGGAAACCCGCGTGGAATTCCGAAAGTCCATTTCCTGTTGTTTCCTTTTCTTCCAAGGTGGCAGGAGGGGTGGTGGTGGTGGCGGGGGCGGGAAGGGTTTTGGAGTGAGGAGGGAGGATGGACCGGGGGAGCGAGGGGGCTCGAGAGGAAGACAGGGCCGCCAAACATTCGATGCGATTCGATTTGCCGACTGGGGCCGCGATTCCGGTTCGATTCGATCTGGTTCGATTCGGGTCGTTTTCAAAATGTGTCTCTCGCTTGAGCGCCGCGCACATTCGTTTTCAAGATGTGCCAGAGCTTCACATATTGAGGGGGGCTCCTTTCCAAAATGTGGTGCGCGCTCTAGCGCCGCGCACATCCGTTTTTGGACTGTGCAAGAGTTTCACGGATTCCCATTCTTGGCATCGCTCGGACGTTTGCACTTCTTCTCGGTTGGGATTACTAAGGAGCATTTTGGATCATCCTGCGACAAAACAAGGAGGAGGAGGAGGAGGAGGAGGAGGAGGAGGAGGAGGAGAGGGAGGAGGAGGGGGGAGGGGGGAGGAGGGAGGAGGGCAGGGAGTGAAAGAAGAGAGGGTGAAGGCTGAGGACGAGGAGGAGGAGGAGGAGGAGTATGATGTATGGGTGTTGGTGCACCGAGGGTTGGATCGCCGGCCCTGCAGGACGAGGGCTGCACGGTGGACTCACTGGAGAGGGGCATCCTCTTCGTCTTTGGCCATAGCTCATGGTCTCGATCCGAGGCGGTCGAGAAGTTCAAGGAGCTCCAGGAGCACACGGTACCCCCGATTGAGGATCGAGGATCCAGGTTCGAGGCGTTCGGGAGTGTTTGGTCGTTTTCGACCCTCCTGGAGTTCGACGAAGAAACACTTGCACAACCATACACTTTCGGGGGTCCTCGCGGACTCCGGCTCGGCGCTGAGTCCCCCTGGCGGCGCTTCCGGCGCCGCCCTGAGCGCTCTGCTCATGCCAATGTCCAGCGCCGATCCGATAAATCCGTGCGGACCTCAGAGGAGAATGTTTGTGTCGTGTTGTGTTCCTCGACGTCTGAGGGACCTCCATGAAGGAAAGGGTTTCCCGAAGACAGAATTGCACAAGCACAAACCTTCGCAGACCCGCGCGGAGTTCTTGGATCGACTTTGGACCCCCCCGGCGCTCGGAGCTGCAAGACACCCGCGCCGAGCTCCGAAAAGTGCATGCTTGTTCGGTTGTTGTTCTCCTAACAGTGCCCTCGTGGCCGCGGCTGGCGCAGCTAGAAGAACGGGGCGCTCGTGTTTCGAGGGGGCAACCCCCGCATTGAAAAAGAATCCCTGGCATCGCTCGGACGTGAATTTTTCTTTCGGCGAGGACCATCGAGGAGCATCCTTGATCATTTGGCGAAAAAACCACGCACGAAACCGAAAAAAAACACAGGGAATGGACGTCCGAGCGATGGCCAGCTCCTGGCCGCGTGAGGCCCCGCCTTCTTCCGCCCTGTCTCTGCTAATTAAAGCTGTGCGCGTCCCGCTTAGCTTTCAGCGGAAGAGGTTCGCTCTCGCCCTGCAGATAAAAAAAAAGACATTCAAGGGGGCAACCCCCGCACTGAGAAGAGAATCCCTCGGTGTGGTCCAGCGGTTTAGCGTAGCGGGTGGGAGACTGTGCGAAGCCCCCCGCGTGGCTCGGCGGGTGGCGGGTCTTGCAACGTTGATTTCTGGCACCGGATGCAGTGCCAAAGCGTGTTGGCAGGACGTCATCTCCAATCTTGCTGGGGCTCCTCCAGATGAGCGTGGAGGGAGGATACAGGTACAGAACTATCAATGATGCAAACAAACCAGCCGTGGCGGATCACAAAGGTTAAACGATATTGCGTCAAGCGGGGGAAGTAGGAGAGAAACCATGTGTCAAGTGAGCGGGAGCTAACCTACTCGTCGTGTCGACGACATTGGTCATGACAGGCAGTGGCGGACATGTCATGCACCTCGCATGTACAACTATTTTACTTCTCAGACCCTCATGAGATCACTTGCCTTTTCTGGCGAAGCAGGTGCAGGATCACTATTCGTCATGCTCGGAGGACGGGGAGGAAGTAGGCGGGAGGAGGATGGACGAAGAGGATGATGGAAGGAGGATCGAGACGCTATGGTTGAGTTGTGTTGGATGATGTCGGGTTTTCGGCGGAAGGGTCTGAGGAGAATGAGGCAAGCTCGCAAGGTCGAGCGAGTCAGAGTGCCCCGCCGACCCCCTCTCTTCATCTGACAACGTAAGAGTCAAGTGGAGCACAACTTCGCAACACACAAGAATGAACGCGCTCCCACCTCGCAAACACAGGGCGCTCGCGCACGGCCCCGCTTCCCCCGACGTAGCGAAGAGAAACTGCGCGGACCGGTCGGGGGCGGGAAGGGCAAATCTTCCGACGGGCGCGGCGAGGACGAAGCATGCGCCGTGTTGGCACAGCATTGCCACGTTCACTCACACATTGCGCGGCGTTTGGGCCGGGTCGGCGTTTCGCCCGCTCGCGTGCGGGGCCCCGCTGGCGCTGTGGATGCTATGCGATGCGGCGAACGAGCCCAGCGCCGCGCCCGCGCTGCAGCGCCACTTCCGAGTGAAGTGCGTACGGAGTTTGGGCGAGGGCGACAAGTCGCCCACTCGCGCGGGCCCTCCAGAAGTGGCGAGCGACAAATATACAGTCGGGGCCCTGAAGAAGGAACCCTTTTCGTTGGGGAGGGGCTCGGTGTTCCTTGATTGTTCTGCAGTTTGCCTGTGGTTTTCCTGCGGTTTTCCGTGGGAAATGGAAGTTCAACTTATTTAGGGTTCCTTAGGTCAACGCCCCGACTGTATACGCCGCTTCGAGGCGGGAACATGTTCAAACGAAGTCTGCGCGTCGCCGAGGCGACAGGGCCATTTCGGCATTTCGCTCGGGATGTGCGCCGCGTTCCGTTCCTGCCACGCATGTGGCAACATGTGCGACATGATGTCCACGTTGTGGCCATAAAGATAGATGCTGAATTGTTCCAACAGGTAGGATGGAGGGAGTGAGCCAGTGTTTGAGTGTTAACATACATGTTCAACATGATATGCATCTGCAAAGCATGTCCAAGGCATCCTTGTCACAAGCAATGAATGCATGTGTTACTCTGCATGTATCCTTCCGCGCACTGGGGTTGGACGACACTTGCAAACACAGGATGGGGAACAACCACCGCGCTAGCAACTTGTCGAAGGCGAAGCGAAGTCTGCACACAGAACGTAAGCAAGGACATGTACTTCGTGAGCCGGTTATTCCGTGTTTGACGATGTTGCAGGTCGGGGATGAATTGACATCCGGTAATTGCGGGCGATCATATTTACAGTCTACTGGGAACGTTGAGGACAGTTGCGTGCCTACAATCATGTTCGCGTCGGCATTCTAGTTTGGGTGCCCCGCCCCCATGCCGCGAAGTCAAAGAAAACACGCTCTTCCCCGTTTTCCTCATCCTCATCCTCCTCAAGTCGCTCCTCCCCGTCGCGTTCCCTTGCGGAAAATTCTTTTTATGTCGTTCCACCAGAAATTTCGATTGGGTGGGCCGGGCGTTTCGTTTGAATTTGTCTCACAGCTTACGGCCGTGAAACTCTACTTAACCAACAGTTACAAGGAGGAAGAGGTTGGTTTTCAAAACAGTGCACTTGCATCAGCGCCGCGCACACTCGTTTTCAAAAGGTTCAAGCCGCTACAAGCATGCATGGGGGGGATCAAGTGGGGTTCTCCCCTTAGCGCCGCGCCCGTGTGTTTTCAAGACTCCGGACAGCTACACGGACGGAGGGGGCGTTTTCAGAGTGGGGTTCTCCTTGCAGCGCGGCGTACAGTCGTCACACATCACAAGCTTGCAGAGCTTGCAGCAGCCATGAGAATCGATGGGGCGTGTCAGACTTGGGTACTCCAGATTTCGTAATGAAGGGAGGGGGGTCTCATTTCGGGGGGGGGTCTCTTCCAGGCTATCCTGGAGGGCCTGGGGGGTCTGGGGACGATGTTTTGGAGGGTTCTCCCAGGGGGGAGGTCTGAAATGGCTTATCTTGGAGGGTCCAGACCCCCTCCCTTTTATTACGAAATCTGGGGTATCTCGCCCTAGGCGCCGCGCACGCCCGTGTGAAGATACCTTCCGCAGGAGCGCCGCGCGCACTCGCCCTGAAACGTCTCCGCGGCCACAGGGCTACGGTCGGGCCAGACGAAAAAGGGGGGGAGGAGGGAGGAGGAGGAGGAGGAGGAGGAGGAGGAGTAGGAGGAGGAGGAGCAGGAGCAAGAGGAGGAGGGGGAGCAGGAGGAGGAGGGAGGAGGAGCAGGAGGAGGAGGAGGAGGAGGAGGAGGGGGGATCGGGAAAGGGAGTGTTACGACATCTGCTGCATGCAGCGGGTTTCGGCCCCGCCGCCGGGCCCACTCCCCGATCCGTGGGCGCCCCCCGGCGCCAAGGAGGCGCCGGGAAGAGCAGCCACGCGGGCTGAGTCTCCCCCCCCCCCCTTTGCTACCCCCCCCTTCTATCTCGCCCAGCCCGGTGCAAGGATGTCGGGCGAAGAGAACTATGCACATGCACCGATCCTGGCAAGGCCCATCCTTGACCCAGGAACGGTGCATATGCCTTCCTGGCCAAGGTGGGAGGGCGTATGCACCGATCCTGGGCTCAGGATGGGCCTGGCCAGAATCGGTGCATGTGCATAGTTCTCTTCCCTCTAGGATGGAGGGCGGCTCCTCTCTCAAAGCGGGGCGCTCGCCCGCGCTTACGGGCCCCCCGTCGAACTTCCAGAGGGCCACGGAGCCGGGTCGGCCGCAGCGCTCCGCGCGGACGGAGGGCGGCGCCTTCTCCGAGCGGGGCTCTCGCTGGAGACCTCCGCGGGCTTACTGGTCCGAGGGGGGGGTGGGTCCTCCTCCACCTCCTGCTCCTGCTCCTCCTCCTCCTCCTCCTCCTCCTCCCTCCTCCTCCTCCTCCTGCTCCTCCTCCTCCCTCTCCTCCTGCTCCTCCTCCTCCTCCTCCTCCTCCTCCTCTCCTCCTCCTCCTCCTCCTCCTCCTGCTCCTCCTCCTCCTCCTCCTCCCTCTCCTCCTCCTCCTCCTCCTCCCCTCCTCTCTCCTCCTCCTCCTCCTCCTCCTCCTCTCCTGCTCCCCCTCTTCTCCTCTCCTGCTCTCCTCCTCCTCCTCCTCCTCCTCCTCCTCCTCCTCCTCCTCTAGCCAATCCCCAGCCCTATCCCCATCCCCATCCCCCTCGAGACTCCCACCAAATTACCACCCCAGTTGGGGATGCACCCCTCGAAACCCGAAGGTGACGACCTATATCCCCATCTAGGAGGTAAATCGGCCAGTGGGGCCCAGGCCACGCCGCTGGGAATGGGGATCGGTTAAACGATGCTCATCCGATGCGAGAGCCCTCCTCCTCATCCTCCTCCCCCTTCTCCTCCTCCTCCTCCTCCTCCTCCTCCTCCTCATCCTCCTCCTCCTTTCAGAACGGGGTCCTCTTCGGTCACACAGCTGAATGCTGTGATCCTACCCTTGTTCTGTGTTGGCGATCCCTGCTCTTCGCAGGGAGGTGCTGGGCTCCTGCTTTTCTAGCCGCGGGGCCCACGCCGGAACGGCCGAGGCCCCTGGGGAGTTCGTCTCTCAGGGAGGCGTTGTCTTGTGGCGCGTGAAGGGGTAAGCTTGCGTGGACTTCGGAGGGGGGAGCCTGAGGCGAGAGGCATCTCCAAGAAAACAGCGCCACAAACATGAACTTTTGGCGCTCCGCGCGGATTTCTTGGATCCGCGCCGGGCCCCCCTAGGCGGCGATTCTGGCGCCGCCCCCCTGGCGCGCTCCGCGCGCCAGGGAGGGGGTCAGCGCGTATCCAAGAAATCCCCACGGAACGCCAAAAGTTTATGTTTATGGCGGTTTTTCTTCTTCTAGCATCTTGAGTTTACTCTGGTCCTTCTCCTTCTTCACTCCTCTCCGGGACTCCCCCCGAGCTGGGAAAGCATCGGCTGCATTGGCAAAAGCGCGCAGCCCATGAATCCCGACGCCATCCGAGTGCCAGCCTGTCTGGGGTAGCTTTCCCTTCCCTTCTTCACTTCTAGATGGGGGTCGCCCACCTCAATAGCTTAAGCTTGAGACTCCCAATTGCCCTCCAAATAACTCCCTGTCGCACCCCCAGGCGTGTCGGTAGGGCGGGGCGGGCTTTTAGCTTAAGAACCCCTCACCGTGTATGACTTTGAAGATTGAAAGTTGCAGCAGTTTTGCGGATGGAGGGCGGGCCGTTTTCAAAATGTGGTTCTCGCATCATCGCCGCGCACATTCGTTTCAACAAAATCCACCGTTGCACCAGTGGAGGACGGGTCGTTTTCAAATTGTGATTCTCGCATTGGGGTTGCGCACCTTCTTTTCAAAAGTTTACAACCGCTTTATGGATGGATGGAGGTTCGTGTCCAACATGCCGTTTCTTTTTGGCGCCGCACACAAGTGTGTGAAAAGTTGGAACAGGTTTGCGCATGGAGGGCGGATCATGTTCAAAATGTGGTTCTCGCATCAGCGCCGCGCAAATGTATATGAAACGTTTACAGTCGTTCCTAGGATTTGCATGGCACGGTTTAGAGTTGTCAGGACGCAACCGTCACGTTGTTTCGTTGTGTTCTGGCATGACTTAGGAGCGTCAGGACGCAACAGTCACGTTGAATCGCAGTGAGAAAATCTTAGGAATTGCGGTACGTTTGGGGGTTCTCAAACGGTTGTTTTCCAATGCCCCCCTTCCTGCACGGACAATAAATGTTTGTAGAGGTTTACGAAGAGGGACCTTAAAGAGAGGGTTTGGCGCAACATCGTTGATGCGTCTTGGATGTTGAATCCTGCACCCCCTCCCCCTCCTCCTCCTCCTCCTCCTCCTCCTCCTCCTCCTCCTCCTCCTCCCCATCATCATCGTAATCAGCAACATCATCATCATCATCAGCAGCAGCAGCAGCAGCATCACCAGCATCATCATAATCACCAGCATCGTCCTCATCATATGCATCCTCATGCTCATCACCACCATCATCGTCATCGTCATCCTCATCATCCGGCTCGTCATCATCGACAGCAGCATCACGACCACCACTCATCACGCTTCATCATCACCATCAGCAGCAGCATCTGTATCATCATCCGTGGCCATTTTGGCTCAAGCCTTCTGGCCAGTTTCGATCGAGCGGCTGGTGCGGTTTGTGATGGCGCGGGGGGCGGCCCCTTCGCGGAAGGCCGCCGTTGGTGGCGATGTGTGCGGCCCGTATGCGGCACGGCGGCAGAGGCGCCGAGCTGGCCAGGCGTGGGCCCGTTGGTCGAGGGCCGTGCTCGCCCACGACCTGCAGCGGGCGGTGCGCTTCTGGCGGAGCCGCTACGAGAAGTTGGTGGCGCCGCTGGGGGACCCCGACACGGCGAAGCGCCTGGCGGCGGGGGCAGTGCACCTGAAGGACATGGCGCACGGCAAGGCCATCGAGTCGCTGGTTGACACGTTGCGGAGGAAAGTGGCGCTCCACGCGACGTTGGCGCCTTGGCCGCTGGGGACGGCGACGGCGTGCTCGCTACGCCGAGCCCAGAAGCGGCCCAGGCTTGCGGCGCGCCCCGCGCTGTCGGCGGCTGGCCCCGCCGCAGGCGGGGTGAACATCCCTAGTTCGGGCAGACCTGCTGAGGGCGGCGCCCCGCCCGCGCGGAAATCGGCCGAGTCCCCGCCCGACTCGGCCATCCCGACGCGGTGCACGACGGCGAGTTCGGGGCCGAGCTGGACGGCCACGACCCCCTTCTAGCGGCGCCGCCTTTCCCCTTGCTCGTTAGGGAGCTCGGCGACCATGGCACGATCGCGACGGGCTCGCGGCGAAGGAGGGCCTGGAGGCCGCCGCGAAAGGCATCGACACCATGAAATGGGATGGTACCCGCGCGGACAAGCGCGGCATGATCATGTACCGAATCTCCCAACTGGAGGCCATCTACGGGGAGGCCCAGCGGGTGCTGGACGGTCCCGACGACGGGTGCGACGATGAGGCCGAGTTGGAGCGCTTCGAGGTTGAGAAAGCGCTCGAGTCTGCTTGGCTGCACAGCGACACGCTGGAGAGCGAGGGGCCTGCCAGGACCGCAGCGGGGCTAGCGCCTCGCTGCCGTTTCATATCGTAGCACGGGGCGTGTCCGCGTGGAAACTCTGGGGGGAAGGGGGGCCCGGGACCCTTAGTAGCGGTGCGCAGATGAGCTCGGGGTGGTTTTGTCCTCGCCCGCGCAGCGGGCGCGCGGCCCGTGGGTGGGGTGGGGGGGCAGCCCTGAGTGCACGGAGGCGCACGGCGGCGCCTGCAGGAGCGGAGGGCGAGCGCGCGACATTGCGCCGCCCCTCCTTGGGAGCGCGAGCATCTTTATCATCATCATCAGCAGCAACATCATCATCATCACCTCGGCGTGTAGAGAATAAGACCCAACGGGGCGGAATGCATATCCGAATCCTCGTCGCCATGCCCCCGCCTTTACGTAGTGTACTATTATTCCTCCTCCTCCTCCGCCGCCTCCACCTCCCTCCTCATCTTCCCCCCCATACTCCTACTCCTACTCCTCTCTTCACATCCCCCCTTACCCTTCCCCTCCTCCCCCCCCCTCCTCCTCCTCGTTTTGTTCCTCTTCCTCCCTCTTCCTGTGGCGGCGCAACAGGACGTCGACCCGACGAAAAAGCAGGAGTCCTCCTGGGACGCCGGCGGCTGGGGCGAGGACAAGAAGTGGGGCGAGGAACGCCTGGGTTTCGCACTCGGCCTCCGCGAGGAACGGGAGGACGAGGGTGAGGGGGGGAGGATGACGAGGGGGAGGAGGAGGGAAAGGATATGAAAAAACGGGGAGGAGGAGGAGGAGGAGGAGGAGGAGGAGGAGGAGGAGGAGGAGAGAAACGTGGACGGTGGCCTCCTCCACCCCCCCCCCCCCCCCCCCCCCCACACACACACACACACACATACACACACACACACACACCTCGGCAACGGTGGCGTTTTGGGGGGCCCCTTGCTCGCGCGGAACGGCCAGACGCCCGGGGTCGCCCGCGCGCGCGAGAGCACGGACAGGGAATTGCACACGCGGTTCGAAGGGAGAGGGAGGCGTGGAGGAGGAGGTGGAGGAGGAGGAGGAGGAGGCGTGGAGGAGGCGTGGAGGAGAAGGAGGAGGCGTGGAGGAGGAGGAAGAGGAGGAAGAGGAGGACGAGGACGACGACGAGCGCATGCCCGCGGCATCGAGGAGGAGAAAAGGAGGAGGAGACGGCGGAGGAGGAAGAGGAGGAAAAGGAGGGGAAAAGGTGGAGGTGGAGGAGGAGGAGGAGAAAAGGAGGAGGAGGAGAAAAGGAGGAGGAGGAGGAGGGGGAAGGGAAGAAGGAGAGGAAGAGGAGGAGGAGGAGGAGGAGAAGGAGGAGGAAGAGGAGGAGGAGGAGGAGGAGGAGGAGGAGAATGCGGCATCGAGAGGAGGAGGAGGAGGGGGAGGAGGAGGAGGAGGAGGAGGAGGAGGAGGGAGGTGGAGTGGAGGTGGAGGAGGAGGAGGAGGAGGAGGAGGAGGGGGAGGGGGAGGAGGAGGAGGAGGAGGAAGAGGAAGAGGAAGAGAGAGGAAGAGGAGAGGAAGAGTAGAAGAGGAGGAGGAGGAGGAGGAGGAGGAGGAGGAGGAGGAGAAGGAAGAGGGGGGGAGGGGGAGGGGGAGGGGCAGGAGGAGGGGTAGCCGGAGGGGAAGGGGGTGGGGCAAGGGAGGGGGAAGGGAGGGGAGGGGAGGGAAGACGAGGGGAGAGGGGGGGGGGATTGACGGTGGAGGACGGAAGACGGACAGAAACATACCATGGCGTGTCCCCTTGGAGCCGGCATTCGGAAGCCTCGGGCGCAGCGTCGCTTCAGCAGGGGGCCTCTCGGCCTGGGGTGGGCTTGGAAGCGACCCTTCTGCGACGGCTCTGGGAGCTAGGCCGCCAGCGCGGGGGCGGGAGAAAGGGCCTGCGCGAGAAGGCCTCTCCTCGGCAGGCTCCTCCGCCCCGCGCCCTGGCCAGCGGCGCGGCAGGAGAGGCAACTCGGAGATTCCCAGCGGTGTGGGAGTGCGTGGGGGGGGGGGGGGCAGGCAGGGAGCGCCTGCCCGAGGCTCGGCCGATCCCCACCTGCACAGCCTGGTCGGCGTGCCTCGCAAGCACGGGATGGCGGCAGGAAGAGGGAGAGGGAGCCACCCCAGGGAGAGGAGGGGTGAAGAGGAGGAGGAGGAGGAGGAGGAGGAGGAGGCTGTTTGGCAGGCGTGTACTCTGTGCCCTCATGGGCATGCATTCTTCACCCGTGTCTCTGCCGCCACCGCTTTTTCTGCTACGCCCTTTGTCTAAGTGGGCATTTCACGCGTGTGTTCTCACAGACGCTGCAATATGAGGATTAAAGTCTTGCTCACCGTCAATCAAGAGGAGGATGAGGGGAGACTCAGCGCCAACAAAAAGGAGCGTGAGGGTAGACCCGGCCCTGGTGCCCGAAACACCAGGTACGGGGGAGGGGGGGCAGGAGAGGAGCGAGAGAGGCGAGGAAGGCAAGGACAGGTTTGCTCTCGTTTCGGCGGCGAGCGAGGGGGTAAAATGAAAAGGAGAAGGCCTTCTCAGAAGGCGGCGGGGCTTCTCCAAAGCCCTCTGGCCTTAGAGAGGTGGTCTGTCTCCAGAGAAGATTTCGAAAACGTTTCGAAAGGCCAGAGGACTTCCGAGCCTTCTGAGAAGGGCCGCCCCTTCTCACTTCCCCCCCGGGCTCGCCGCCAATCGTTGCCGCCTCTGGCATTTCCACGTCGGCTTGGGAAAATACTTGCCAGAGCTTAGGCGCGACCCCGGGCCCAGGTCCAAGCCCGGAGGAGGAGGGGGGTGAAGAGAGGGAAGGTGGAGGAGGGTTGGGAACGACGGGGGGCGGGGAGGGGGGGAGGAGGAGGAGCAGGACACGCGCCCCGGGGGCATGGACCGCTTGATCCCCCCTTCCTCCCTCCCTCATCCCTCCTCCCTCCCTCCTCCCTCCCTCCTTCCTCCCTCCTTCCTCCCTCCCTCCCCCAACCCTGCTTCACTCGCGCGCTCTCATCAGTTGTGCTTCAGCAAGTGCCGAGCGTTTCAGTTGACGGTCCCCACACACAAGAGAGCAGGGGCTCCACTGTAGATAGGCCTTGCAGGGAGTCAGCAAGCGCTCATTGCTCAAATCTGTGGTGAGGGTTCTCGGCCGAACGAAATCCCGAACCAGATTCCTCCTTCCCTCGAGGAATCGAAAACTGCGTAAACAGAAATTTGCGGTGCTCCGCGCGGATTTCCCTGATCGGCGCCTGGGTTCCCTTGGCGATGCCTCCGGCGCTGCCTTTGGCGGGCTCCGTGCGCCGATCGAAGAAGTCAGCGCTGACCGTTGCAAGGTTATGTTGGTGCCGTTCTTTCTGGCTCAAGCCTCCTCCTCCTTCTCATCCTGCTCCTGCTCCTGCTTTCTGTCCCATTATTTCTCCTCCCCATCCTGACTCAAGCCTCCTCCTCCTTCTCCTCCTGCTCCTGCTCCTGCTCCTCCTCATCCTCCTCCTCCTCTTCCCCCTCCTCCCCATCCTCCCTCATCCCCATCCTGTCCTCCCCCATCCTCCTCATCCTCCCCCCTTTCTCCTATATCCTGGCCCCTCCCACGAGCCTCCTCCCCAGCCTTCCTTCCCGCTCCTGGCGCGAGGAGAAGAAGGACGACAAGAAGTGGGGCGGCGACAAAGGATGGGGCGAGGACGCTGATCCGCGCTCCACTTGCGAAACTCTATTCCTCCCCCACGGCTCCGCTCGACGCCTGGGTATCTGACAGCCCCGCAGGGGGTCGTCTGCAGACACCCACCAAGTTCTGCGCCGCAGCCGCCTCGACAGAACAACCCTGACCTTCAGGGGTCGGGCTCCGCGCGCCCACGCGTGGCTGCTCGCGCCGCAGAGCCGAGAGACGTCCTCGTACATCCCACGACAAGGCCACGCGCGGCGGACCCCCTGGGTCAAGGGCGTAAAAAAAACGCCCTACCCTGGTTGACGAGGCGCTGCGCGCTGAAACTCCTGATGGGCCGACAGGGTAACCCCTGCGTGATGTGCCGCGTCCTGGCGGCTCTAGGCTTTGAGGGGGGTCCCAGGAGGCTTCCAGACCACGCACTTGTAACCCAGGGCAGGGCCGTTTTCTTAATCCCTCAACACTGGGTCGGCGGCCGGGTCGGCGTTGGACCGCGCCCCCCCCCCTGGCCGGCGCTTTGGCGCCGCCCTCTCCTCTGGCGCGCTTCTCGGTGGCCCAGGGCCCCTTTTTGAGCAGGGCTCTCTCGACAAGCCAGGGCACGGTCGCGCCCGGGGAGGCTGCGGCCGTGGGTCCGAGCCTTCCTCCACGTTGCGGCAAAGAGAAACAAATCGGTAGCAAAACAAACAACGCACAGCGCGTGGGAAAAAAGCGCAACCTGTAGAAAAGTGTGTCTGTGTGTGTTTGTTTCCTCTGCGTGTGTGCTTTTCCACCGTGTGTGCTCCTGTGCCGTGCCAGGGGAGGCCCGAATCGAGGGATCCGCGCGGGCCTCGGAGCGGCGGCTCCAAGAGGGTTTTTTTTTTGGAGGGGCGGGGCCCCGAGGGGCGAGGGGGGGCTCAGGCCATGGAGCCTCGCCCTGGGGCCTCTTCCTGTCCTTTGGGCCCCACCCCTCGGGGCCACATCTTGCCTGCCTTTAACAGGGGTTCGGTTTGCCAGGGCAGGCCGATCAACGTCGTCATCATCATCATCATCATCATCATCATCATCATCATCATCATCATCGTCATCGTCATCGTCATCGTCATCGTCATCATCATCATCATCATCATCATCATTATCATCATCGTCCTCGTTATCGTTACCAGCATCATCATCATCATCATCATCATCATCATCATCATCATCATCACCATCATCATCATCATCATCATCATCATCATCATCATCAGTAGCACCATCATCATCAACATCACCGCCGCTGCGGCGCTTTCTGCCGCCGCTCCGGCGCTCTCCTGGCGCGCGCGCTGTCTGGCAAGCCCCCCAGGACAAGAAGTGGGGCGAGGAGACCGGCGCGGGCCGCGCACAGTCGGGGGGCGCGGGGGGGGATCCGAGAAGGGGAACCGAGCAGGGAGGGAGCTGAGGGTTGCGGAGAGTCGGCGGGGAGGAGAGCGGAGAGTTGGGAAGGCGAGGGGTTGGGAAGGCGAGGAGCTGGGAGGGAGGAAGGGGCGAGATGGGCTGGGAGGAAGACTGGGATAGGAGGGTGATGAGGACGAGAAGGGCGACGAGGAGGAGGAGGAGGAGGAGAAGGAGGAATAGAGGAGAGGAAGTGAGGAGGAAAAGTGGGGAGGAGGCGTCTGGGGCATTTTGGGCGGCCGTCCGGGGCCGCAGAGGGGGGCATCTCGGAGTTATTTCTGGCCGTGCCGAACAAATAGAAGCAAGTGTATCTGGAGCAAACGGCCCACTGCCAGGACCTCGCGTCACTTCCGGGGCGCCTCTCGCGCGATATGCCATGGGACGTCGCGTTCACTATCAACTCAAAACGAGGGCAATTGCTGGCCGGAGAAACGACGTTGCCCATGCACCGCCCAGACCAGTGGCCAAAACGCAGTCGTTGAGTTTAGTCGCCCAACCCAGTTGTCCAGCATATTCGGCCGTCTCAGTCAGATAGCTCAGACGTTCAGCTCAGTAGTTCCGTCAAGTCGTCCAGCGAAGTCGCCCCCAGAGCTGTGCGTTTACATCTCACATACATCCACCCGCGCGTGCCATTGGATTGCTAAAGGAAGTTAAATCATTCAAACGAGTTCAGGTATCTGAAGTGTAGGAATAACTCAGAATATTCAAATTATCTAAATTATTCAAACCATGCAAATCAGACGACGTACGATAATCTTGCTGGCGTCAGAAAGTGGACATTTCATGTCTCGCAAATACTATGGATACTTTGTTTTTAATAGTTCAAATAAGTTGGAATATTAAGCTATTGTAGACAATTCAATTTGGTTAGACGAGCCAAGCATATATGGAATACTTGTCATTCGGTTTTATTTTAAAAGTAAAGAAAGTTCACACAATTCAGATAATTTACATCTTTCAAATGGCTTATCTGTAACCGAATTTAGATACTGAGCGTAGTTCAAATAAGTTTAACGGCTTGGGTTATCCAAGGAAGCAGAGCCATTAAGAGTACTCAAAGTATCCAAGCTGTTTGAATTATCGAAATTCATCAAACTATTCTACCTCGTTAAATTCGTTAGATGGTGAAACGTGTATACATTGTGTTGCGTAAGTAAATAATGTAAACTATTTGAATTATTCAAGTTGTTTCAGATGCATGAAGTGTCTACTTTCTGATACCAGCAAGACCACCGGACT